CAGCTCCACTATCCTAAGGTCTCCATTGCAACTTAGATATCACATTTCCAGCTTTGTGCTACTGATTCTTAGGACCTCCTTGCAGAGAAACTGCTACACATTGTCTGGCCTTAGTGACCTTCTGGAACCTTGGTGCAAACCTCCACGACCCCCTCACTCTACTTATATTTGCCATACCTGAAAATCTAGTGGACAACATTGCCAAGCTCTGCTTTCAGCTCAGGACATTGATTTATCCTTTTGGACCAAATTTGTAATGGCCTCTGTACGTCTTGGTGGCTGAATCTTAGAAAATACTTCTTAGATGGTTCATTTTTTTTTTTGTTGTTGTTGTTGGTTTGTCTGCTTTTAGCAGAGAGTCCCTGGATGGCTACTCTTGGTTGTCACTTTGACAGACCTGGGAAGAGGGAACATCAATTGAGGAATTGATTCCATCAGATTTGCCTCTGAGTATCTCTATGGGGCATTTCTTGATTGCTAAATTGATGGAGGACAGCCTACCCTATTGTGAGTGGTCCTGTTCCTAGGTACATGGTCTTGTGCTACAAGAAAATCAGCTGAAGGCTGCATGTGATGGCACACACTTTTAATCCCAGCACTTGGGAGGCAGAGGCAGGTGAATCTCTGTGAGTCTGAGGCCAACCTGGTCTACAAAGCAAGTTCCAAGATAGCAGAAACCCTGTCTCAAAAATAAATAGATAGATAAATAAATAAATACAAACTTATTGAGCAGAAACAGGGAACAAGCCAGTAAGCAATATTCATCTATAGTCTTTCTTTTAGTTCTTGCCCTGACTTCCCTCAGTGATGAATCGTGGCCTAGAAGAAGAAGATGAAATCAACCCTTTCCACTCCAAGCAAGGACGCAAACTAAAACCCCCTTCTGCAGCTTTCTCCGTTCAGGCTCTCTTTTTAAAGGAATCTGCATTTGCATAAGATGCAGCTTTCAGTGGCTGAGAGCTTGCCCTCAGGGCACCTTTTTTTAATCATCCAGGGCACAGCACTGGGCTTTCTCTTTAATGGGGGCAACCCTTTCAACACAGCTGCTCTTGTATCTGTCTTGCCTGCAACTGTGAGCTCCCTCCTTCTCCCACTAAACTACACATCTTCATCTCTTCCTGCTTCACTTACTGTGGACCTGGATAAGAGCAGCGAGCAGTAGCCGTGACAGAGCCTGATGACTGTTGTGTTTTGTCTTGGAAGTTCTTCTACCAAACAAATGAGTCCACTATTCTTTTAGTTTGGCTTCATTTGACTTCTAGAACATGGGCAGAATGCACCCAGCATCTCTGTTGGGATGTAACACAAATGACTTCTAGTCCAGTTCCCGAGAGTCTTTGTTCCCCTCTGAAACCTCATGAGCCAGACCTCCATTTCCTTCTCTTGGCATTCTTGTCCTCCAGACTCCCACCACCATGTCCCTGAGCTTTGCTTATAACTTTCTAGGAGATTCTCTAGTCCATAGCCCCATGTTCTTCCACATTCCTCCTGCCAATTGATTCCAATGACCTAAGGACCCCTTGGTCAGGTTATTATAACAAAAACCCTGCTCATGACACCAGTTGTCTGTATGAGTGACTTTTATCATTGCTATGACAAGCTACTATTTATAAAAGGTTAGTTTGAACTTACAGTTGGAGAAAGGACACAGTCCATCACTGAGGGAAGAGATAGTGGCAGGCTCACCTGGTGGCTAGTCATACTGAGTCCACAGTTAGGAAGCACAGAGTGAACAGGAAGTCGGGCTGGGCTATACAGTGTCAAGGCCTTCTCCAAGTGACCTACTTCCTCCTGTGAGATTTCACCTCCTGGAAGTTCTACAACCTTCCAAAACAGCACCGTGAGCTGGAGACGAAGAGGTCGAACACATGAGCCTGTGGGGGACATTTCACATTCAAACACAACACCTGTGGTCCCAGGACTCGGCTGAGACGGGAGAATCATTTGACTCTGGAGTTCAAGGCCAGCCACACTGATAAGAGGGGGTGTGGGGAGGGAGGAAGGGAGCAAGAGGAAACGATCATTATGAGTTTCACCTAGGAAACACTGTAACACTATTACACACAGGAACAGTAAGGATGGGGTTTCTGACCCTTGCAGAGACCATTCTGTTCCCAGGCACTGGTCAGGGGTCTAGATCTCTGCAGAGCTAGGTAGAATGGGTTGGGTTATAAAGATTCTGACAAGTAGAAGGAACAGGGCTATCCCGGGAAGGAATGAGTTCCCAGTTACAAGGGGATTCAAGCAGAGGTTGGACAGCAGGTCAAGGGCCTACAGAGATGGTCTTTCCAAGAGGGTCAGGAGAGGAGAGATCCAGCACAAGAATGGATAGAATCGGCATAGTTCTGCAGGTCTGGATCCCAATTCTGCTTTTTACTAATTTTGTGACCTGGGGCATCTCCCTGAGGTTTAAGTCTGTCATTGGCTAAGTGGGGCTAATAACTGTGAGAATTTAATGGGAAGACACCTACCCTCAGGCTCCTTAATGGCACCATTAGATGACTAAGCTTATAAAAACCAATTGGCAGGGTCCTGGGGCCAACATGTTGGCAAAGATGCAGCATCCACCCCTCAAAAAACCTTGCTGGGCAGCCTGGCTCTTCCTGGCGTGTCTTGATCTTCTGCTCCCCAAAGGTCAGAGCCACTGCCCCCTCCATCAGGCAGGGTGCCCTCAACATCACTGTCTCTCTAGGTTTCTTGCCTCATCTGTCAGCAAGGTGGGAGCTGCCAGAGGTGGTCTCCGACAGGCCTCCCGGTCTAAGACACACTCTAAAGGGTCTGGGATGCTAACCAGCCACGTTACAGAGTCTGTTTCTCTGCTGATTGAGACACTGCATCATGACAAAATGAGGGGACTGAGCTAGACGACAGCAGCACCCGGAGGCCACCATAAGGACTCTCCAGGAACCAAGCCAGCCAACCTCACAACTGTTGTGTGGGTGCTACCATGCGGGTTCTGCAGTGCAGCTGGTCTCTTGTCCAAGGTCACACAGCTAAGGAGTCAAGGCAGAGCCCATGAATGTGACTGACACACGATACCCCTCTTGTGGCTCCATACACTGAGGTATAGAAGGGAGCCTGAGCATTCTCTGGATGCCATGGCTTTGTGGGCTGAAGAAGACACACTTTACCAGACATGACCCCTGCGCTGTCTTAGAAGATGAGAGTCTCCCTGCCAGAGGCCAGGCTGCCTGTTTCCCTGCTTGCAGACCTTGACTGAACCCTTTAAGTTCTCTGTCTCCAGTCGCCATGTGCTTCTCCTAGAAAGCCCATTTTACAGACAAGGAAACCGAGACCATGAAGGATAAAGTATTTTCCCAGTAACTGGTGGAAGGAGGCCTGGATTCAGATCTGCTTTGTTGCCCAAGGGCTTCTGTGCCCCATCCTGGGAGTCTGGCCATCACCCAGGAAGCAGAGACATGCTGAGGCTGTGTGGAGCTGACGGAAGAGCTTTTCTGTGAGGATGGGAAGAACATAAAGCCGGGCAGGTTTTCAGCCCAGTACCAGCTCTAGACATAGGGGAATGGGAGAGTCAGACCTGGCGTCGTCGTGGGACATTGTGCTTGAGTGGCAGCCGACAACGGCACACTTAACTGTTTGGTCCGTCAGGTAACCAGATGGAGATACACTTCGGTGGCCAGGGACAGGACTGAGGCGGGGTAACTGAGAGGTTGAGATAATCATTAACAGAGATCAGGAAATTGGAGGGATGAGGGGGCCCGGGTTTTTTCCCTGCAAGGTGGGCCAGCAGCAACCAGGATGACCGGGTCTCTGTGGCCTCCCTAGTACCGCAGGTGTGGAGTCCACAATAATTCAAAAACATTAGCCACCTACCCGCTTCTTCTGTTGTGTGACCCTGTCCCATATTCTCTGCAGTTACAGAAGAGTGGATTAAAAAGACAAGACCCCAGCTGTGTCAAGAGCTATGTTAAGGTAACCACAGACTTGTGTAAGCAACACCCCCCCCCATTAAGCTTGTACAAACACCTTGTTATCACAAATTGTCAATATGGTTGTAAAATGTTATCACAAGTTGTAAGTTCCGGGAATGTACTTTAACGTCACACTGTAATAATTCCTTCTTGTTTCATCCCTGATCTCCCACCGACTTGTAACTCTTTTGCTTTAAAAAAAGAACCTACTCCCTCTGTTCTGTGTCTGATCTCAATCTACCCCTGGCCCTAACTGGTTAGAAGTTCTGGTACCCCGCGGTGATGGAGCGAAGTTGCCTCTGCTCATCTCACTTTGGTGGCCTGGTCCTCAATATCTGTGTGATTCCCAGACCCAACAGCAGGGCGCCATGCCCAGCCTACCCTTGGCAGCCTTGGTCATCCATAAATCCCCATGGTATTCCCAACAGCCTGGTGTGAGTGAGAATTCCAGTTCTCATTATATAGAGTAGGAAACCCAGACTTAGTGTGTTCCAGGGCATTCTGAATGAAAGCCAGGCATAAAGAGCCCAAAATCTGGGCCCCGGGGCTTCAAAAAGTCCACACCCAGCGCAGATAAGCGCCCGAGACAGGATAGGACCCACTTTCCTTAACTGACTGGGACCCTCTGGGCACCTCACCAGGGCCTACATTCCTCTTCTCCAGCCAAAATCTTGGGAATAGGTGTGAAGATACAGATGGGAAGGGAGAGGTGCTCATCTCATTGGGTCTTCCCATTCGCAGTTGCCCTGCCTTGGCCTGGCTGAGTCCCTGTACGAGATGCATACCCCTGTCAGTCAACATCCTCTGCCAGCATTGGTAGGGCGTGCAGATCCGCCAGGGCCAATACCACACTGGGCAGCCAGGGCCCCGGGAGGCTCTGCTACCGCGGACAACACTGGGATGGGAAGGAGGGAGTGCTGGGGCCAGGGCCACCCTCCCACTTCCTAGCGAGCACTAGCGGGAGGCCTCTGGGAGACTGGCCTCTCCGGTTCGCATGCGCACTCAGCTGCCGGTCCTTGCTCCCCAATCCCTTCCCGAGACCACGCCTCTGCCTCCAATGGGCGGAGGCTTAGAGGTTGGGCGGGCCAGAAAGAAGCCCCGGGGTCCAAGCTCCAGCTGCCGAGATCCAGCCCCAGCCCGCGGGCCGCCGGGGCAGCAACTCCCCGCCGAGTCCCAGGCTTCAGCGCGGGCTGGTCCAGCCTCCGCTCCAGTGCCTGCGCTGTGCCCTGTATCCCGGGAGTCCGGCTCCAGCTGCGGCGACGCGGCAGGTAGGAGGCGCTGCGCAGAGGGAGGCGTGTGCGAGCGCGTGTGTTAGTGTGTGTGTGTGTTAGTGTGTGTGTGCGCGCGCGCGCGCAGGTGTAGGTGCAGGTGCAGCACGAATCGGAACACGAGCTGCACATCCCGCGGATTCAGGGCTGGGAGGTGAGCGCTGGCCTGCAGGCCCAGGAGGCGGAGCACCCACCCCCCACCCCCTTTCCCGCCCCAAAGATCCGCCCGGACTCATCCCCACCTCCACGCAGCCCTGGGTGAGGGGGCCTCCCTTGCCTCCACCTGGGTATTTTGATGCTGTTCTCCCGGTGCAGAGGCGCTGGTGTGTGCTTATCATCGGGCTTAACTCTTTCTAATCTTCCTTACGAGTCCCCTTTCCTGTCTCCACCTCTGTAACCCTCACCCTTTCAACCTTCTAACCTTTCTAGGTGCATCTGTCTCCTGCCTTGGAGAAGGCATGAGGCCAAAGACCCCAGCTGTATGGTCCTGTGCCCCTTCTTGGCCACGGTCCCCAGGTTGAATGGGGGCCTTCTCCCTGCCTGCAGGGCTGGGTGTGTGGTGCTGGGAGCAGGGCGGGTCTGGCAGAGACTAGCGTCCCACCCCACCCCCAGCCCTCAGGCTTAGGGATGTAGGAAAGGTCTTCCTAAGGGGTTCAGAGTTGGAGTAGGACCGAAGATCATTAACAGGTGCTAACGTTCCCCCAGACCTTTCCTGTGATGAGATTCAACCCCAGACCTCACACAGATGAGCCCCAGCTGCAGAAGGGAAGCCAGCTCCCCCCCAAGCCTGAGAGTCTAAAGTGACCCAGCCAGAATTGGCACCCAGGTCCCCAAAGCACAGGCCATGGTCTTCTCTGTGTGCCAGAGGGTGGAGCACTCAGCCAGGGCTGAGGGCAGCTAAGTGTTCAGGGAGCTAGGGAGACCTTCCTGGGAACCTCTGCCTTGGTAAGGGGTGGGGGTGAAAATGAGCCTCCCTGGTCCTTGCTATAGGCTTAGGGAGGTGAAGAAGGCCGGAGGGGTGGGTCCAGCTGCGGCTGCTGCCCCGAGGCAGGGTCAGAGCTGAAGCCTGGGTGGAACCTGCCCCGAGAGGTTTCTTTTCCCCTTGAGAGGCTGGTGGGCCCACAGATAAGCCCCTGACTTGAGTCCTGAGAATAAGGCAGAGTCAGTCCCAGGCAGGGCCACCCTTGCCTGGGAGCTGATAGTTCATCCAAACAGGGATTGGGAAAAGTTCAGCAAGGTGAAGAAAGGAGCTTAGAATTTAAACCGTGAAACAGGCCAGGAAAGAACACGAGAAAAGGACAGAGATGTGACGCTGCGTGCCAGGCTGGGAGGGGGGTGTGTCTGACAAGGGCGGTATTTGGCTACTCTGGGGGAGAGGTTACTGTAGAGATTCCAGCAGGGAGAATGGAGCTAATGTCACCATCATCATCCGTAAGTCCCCACCTCCCCTCTGTTCTCAGCACCTCACCTGGGCTAGGTGTGGCAAGAGAGGAGAGAGATCTGTTTGGACCAGGAGTGGAAGGTCCAGGAGAAACTTTACAGGCCCCATTCCTGGGTAAGAGCAGGGGGCCGCCTCTAAGATGGGGACGGGGCGGGGGATGGGGGGGCACTGGTGCCAGGGAGCCTGTGGCTTTCGGTGGGACATCTGTGGGCTTTTCGGAGGCCTCTGCTGTCTCTGTGTTCATCTTTTCTACTTTCCCTGAGTGCTCTTGGGATGGCTTTGAGATCCGGTCTCCCCCCAAAAGAGGCCTTCCTTGGCCTCTCAGAGGGCATTGGGAGGCCACTCTCCACCCGCCTCTTGCCTGAGGGGCCTGCTTTCTTTCTCCTCGAGACTGGCTCCTTTCCCTCCTGTTTGCCCATGCCCTTGAAGCAGAGAGCTTTACCTGTGGCTCAGTTTCCCCTACGGAGGCCGAATGCTGCCTTGTCACAGAGACTTATGGATGATGACGGTGACATTAGCTCTGGTCACTCGGCACTTTACTGGGGGGTGTTTGGTAGCCAGTTGACGGCCATCGTCTCTGGGTCCCTTCATTGAGGAAAGAGAGGCTGGTTTTGAGGCAAACGGACTAGACAGCAGTGGGGTTGGTTGGTTTGTTTTTTTTCCCACTGAAGTGGGAGCCCACTTGGCTTTAGTGAGTGAGAGGACCTGCTGGTTGCTGTAAGTCCTCTGCTTACTGTCCAATGGCCACCCCAAAACCCCCTTATCTCCCGGAGAGAAGCAGGGCCACGGCAGCTGAGGCGCACCTTACATACGTCTTGCAAAGGACACGTGGATGTGAGCCCTGGCTGTCCCCAGTTACAGACATCAGGTCTGTCACACCTTCTCCAAGTAGCCCTGCAGGCTCACTGGCAGGCTATCTGTAGCTTGCTGATTGGGCCTTCCTCTCCCCTATCTCTCAGTGCATGTGGGGCCCCTCCCAGCTGTCCAAATCCCCCAGACATCCTCTTTCAGTTTTCCTACAGTCCCCCAAGGCCGCCAGGCTTGGCCTTCAAGGCCCCCACCTCCGTAGCCTGTTCTGTGGGAGGTGGTGCCATCCTGGAGTTGCCTCAGATCGGGTGGAACTGTTAGCTCCCTTCAGGCCTTAGGCTCTGTCTTTTCTTGCAAACCAAAGGCAAACTGGGCCGCATGCCTTCGGGGTACCAGCCCAGACCTCATGAAGCCTATTCTTGAGCTTAGGTATGAGGTTGTAGAATGTGGTTTTTGTTTGTTTGTTTGTTTTTTTTTTTTTTGCAGCCCAGTAAGGGCTCAGTTACCACACCCCGTCATTGCTGGGACCATTGTCCTGGGGACCCCAGGCTTCCCAGAGTTGGTTGTGAGAGTGGGGTGGCCTGTGGATGTAGCCTGTGGTCTTATGTCTCAGTGGAGCATGTGGTCAGGTGGCCACAACAGACCAGGCCTGTTCCTGGGCACTGTCAGGTGTGCATAGGTGTGGGACAAGGGCTGAGAGTCTGCTCCTGTCTGCTCCTGCCTAGCCAGTCCCTGCTGGTACCCCCTGACCCCTGCTGGGTAGGCCGAGGTGGGGACTCCGTGACTTCTCACTAGTAACTGTAACAGGGACCTTCATGTTGCATTGGGGACACTGTAATGTCATCCTCCTCCAAGCAGCGGGGAGCAGTTAGGCTCCATCACTCACCCCATCTCCTGTGCCTCAGGGATGTTCTTCCTCATCATTGCTGAACCCAAAATGTTGGTGGCTCAAAACAATGTGGATTTATTTTCCTCTGGTCCGGGATAGCAGAAATGAGCCTTGTGGGACTAAAACCAGCCTAGCTCCTTCTCGGGGGGCTCCAGGGGAGAATCTGGGCCTTGCCTCCTCTAGCTCTTGTGGCTGCTGACATTCCTTGCGACTGAATCACCCCAGTTTCGACTCCATCTCTGTTTTCCTCTTCTGCACTCAAAGTTCCCCATGCCTCCCTACCTTTCTGTTTTTGTTTAAGTTCTATTTTCTTTGTTACTGTGTGTGCACCAGGTTTGTGTCTGGCTGTCCGTGTGCTGTGGCTGGGGCCTGGAGGTCCCAGGACAGTTTGGTGCGGTTGTTTTATTCCTTCTACCTTTGTATGAGTGGCGGAGACGGAACTCGGGACGTTGGAGGTGGGCAGCCCGTGCCTTTACCTGGTGAATGGGCTTGTGGGTGCCCCCACCCCATTTTTCTGAGCCAAGGTCTCCTGTAGCTCAGAATAGCCTTAGAACTTGAACTCCTCCTCCTCCTACCTCTGGCCCCAAAGTGTTAGGGACACCAGTGTGTGCTGTCACGTATGGTTTCATTCATTCATACACTCATTCATTCATTCATTCACTCATTCATTCATTCATTCACTCATTCATTCATTCTGGGCAGTGGTGAGGAAGGACCCCAGAGTCTTGTCCATGCTAAGCAGGTACTCTGCCACTGAGCCTCATGCCCAGCCCTGCCTCTCTCTCTCTCTCCTATAAGCGCGCTTGCGCTGACCATTAGGACACATCCAGGATGCTCTCCCCGTCCATCTGCAAGCCTTTAGTGCTACGTGAGGCCCACGGGGGTCTAAGGATTCCCATATGGATATCTTTGGGAGCCATTATCAACCCAGGGAAGAAACTGATTGTTGTGTCTTTGCAGACACCCCCGGCAACACACACACACACACCCAACTCTCTGACACCCCCGGCAACACACACACACACACACACACACACACACACACACACACACACACACACAACTCTCTGGTGCCTACAATGGCAGGTTCCCTAGTCAGGGTCCTGGGTATCTCATGAGGCGACGACTTAGTGTGTCCTCTGCCAGCTCCCTTTCCGACAGACCCAGGGCAGCGTTGTCTCTGGCCCTGGTGCCCACCCTGGGCCCATGAGAGCCAGAACCTAGTGATATTAGGAGAGGAGACTGTGTCACCCTGTCCCTGCGGTCACCTCCGTAACTGGATCCCATCCTGCTAGCACTATGCTATGGTGTTAGGGCAGAGTGTAGCTCACGTGAGATGTGCATTCAGTAAAGCTAGTGCATGGCAGGTCATTGAGCTGGGCATGGCTCAAGGCTTTAACTCTAGCACTTAGAGTGGCGAGGGGGGGCAAGGCAGGCTGATCTCTGTGGTCTGTATAACCAGTTCCATCCTAGCCCAGCTAAGCCTACATAGTGAGACTGTGTGTGTGTGTGTGTGTGTGTGTGTGTGTGTGTGTGTGTCTGTGTGTGTGTGTGTGTCTGTGTGTGTGTGTTTAAATGTGTGTATATGAAGACCAAAGAACAATTGTTTTATTTTATTCT